GGTATATCAGGTTTCACAAGTTCAGAGTCGAATTCCTCGTAACGACACGTTATGCATGCAAACTCCTAAAGCTAATACAGTAGTCAGCTAATTAATATCAATATGGGACTCGGCGTTAATTCGTAATGCCACAGGTGGCTACACCTTTCGCTAACTTATCGAGCGAGAACATATCAAGAAAGACACATAAATGAGGCAGAAAGTAGTGAAGTGGTATAAAGTAACGAAAGGAGAACAGAGATAAGTGGAATAACAGTAAGATTTGCCATGATGATTAAGATGAAGATAAGGTGTGGATACATCTGCCCCATTAAAATGGACTTCGAGTCATACAAGTCAACCTCTACAACTGCCAATTTTTGTTGTCACGCGGACCCCAACCGGGAAGTTTGAATTTCCCTACATGGCTCAGACCAATGGGCAAAAACTTCAACGATTGATATCTTGTTTTTGTTTGGCTTACTGTAACCCTTTTCTATCTTAAACCTACTTCAACTAACTTTGCGACTGGCAGGCGCAAACTAGGCATACGTAACACATACCTCTGCCATCTGAGTTGACTGACTTTTCTCCGACTAAAACTCTACGCATCACGTCTACGTTACTGGGCTGACCCCATTCCCCGAATAAGTGAAGCGGTCAAGGCACCCAGCCATATGGCTACCTACTGTTAGATGAGGTACCGCTGAAGAACAGTCCTAGAGCGACAAATCGCACTCGGAAAGGCGAGAAACGCATCCCAAGCATTCGTAGTTTGCCACCTGAGTTGTCTAGAAGACTGCATTTTGTCAGCAACTCTACTCTCTGAGTACTCTAAGTTCAGTTGGGTGTCTAATGTCACAAGATTAATCCCTGTAAAGTCAGACGATGACAGAGAGGCCTCCATAAATGCATCTGTGATAAATTTGGATAAAAATGAAGAGACTGGACAACCTTGACGTACACCACATACCGGCAACTCACCATAGACTTCAGCAAGCCCACCAGTGTTCAAGTGCACAGCCTTTAACAGAATGATGTACATATGTGGCAAAATTTTCAGTGAGACACTGCTACAGGATCTCTCGATCGGTGGGGCGGAACGCTACTGTCATGTCGAGAAATGCACTTACTATTCAGCTTCAGTAAATGTGTATGTTTTTCATAACCTGGAGGAGGGTGAATATCTGGTCGACACAGCCACGAACAGGTCTGAAACCAGTCTAGTTCCTCGCATTTGCTACTCCCGAGCTCCACTGAGACATCTGATCATTACAAAACCTAGACTCTTAGACACAATGTTGGTCAGACTGGTTTCCTTGTGGTTATCTCAATGAGGATATCTCACCTTTTTTGAAGACTAGAGCGACCGGTGACTGAGACCTTGCAGAGGGGATAATATCCGATTCCCTCACGCTAGCTAATACTTTGATCAATTCAATCAATAACTCCCTACCGCTGTCCGTAGAAACCTCTGCTACTAGCTAATTTGACTCTGCTGCTCCTACTCGTTTATGCCTACTTACAGTCTTCTCAACTTCTGCAGACGTCGGTGAAAGGCTTTCTTTATATCTTACTTAGACCCCGACTGGATAGCAGGCACTGAAGTAGTAGCTGAAGGTCAGTTGAACTGCTCCTCAAATTGTCCACCCCATCGTTCTAGTTATCTCCCCTAACAGTAGAGTTGCAGATCTATCCTGGTTCGCTGCTGTTACGCTAGGAGTGCATTCACGCGCATTCATTATTTCTGAAGAAGCTGCTCAGTCTATTGGCCCCTTCTAATCAATTTTTGAGAGCCAATTACGAGTTTGAGCTCTGTTTTTACAGCAGACTGCAGATGGAGTCATACTTCTCATGGATTGAGATGTTGCTGTATTCCAGTAACTGTCTAACTAGTTTCTTGCTGAAAGTACCCTAAAACGTTTCAGCGTCAATCAACAATTTCAATGGTCTTGCTGCCAGATAGCTGTTCACATACGCGCTCCAGAAAGAATGGCAATCTCCCACCGACCCTTTTCAGTAATGGCTGGCAGTAATGCTGTCTATCTATGTTCACCCTTGACTTGAGATCGGTGGGTAAAAGTTAATGGCTCACTGAGCACAGTTGTAGTAGGTGCTCACTGTTAACCGTTCGTTCGGCTGGGATTCTGAAAATGCTACCCAAGTGTATTTCCGTTCGAATTAGCCTACTCACTTGTGAACCCAGTTAACTTACAGCAACCACATCTGAACGTTTAACTTTCAGTAGGAGACTTGAGTTTTCGGTCAGTAGGTGCGCAAGCAGAAATCACACAGAGACAACGGTGAGTTTAACCATTCTTTACAGTCCTCAATACACAGTTCAGGCAAACAGCTAGAAAATGATTGTCAACTGGAATCCAGTAGACCAGTGCACTTTTCGCCTTAGCATTTAATATACCATCTTTACCTCCAAGACCACGGGAACTACTCATCGTATACTCAGAAGATCGAAAAGTGGATTTCGTAGATTTAGCACATGTGTGTGGTAAGATTAGATGAATAACCACATCGGGGTCATGTATGAGTGTCTCACAAACAGCGTATATCCATGGATTGAGATGCTAGAGTTTTGGCCTGCGAAGCTTTTTAGCTGATTTGATGGAGGGATTGAATGTTGAAGGTTCCGATGTGTTGTTTGGAGAGTTTTTAGGAGACCAGAGATGCCGTTCAGTGAACTAAGATCGTTATTTAGAGCTCTAGAGCTGGAAGAAGTTGAAGATGAAGGAGTGTTGACCGAGAGATATGAAGGAAAATAAGAGGGTGGAGATGTGATAGGTGGATCAACGGCAACTTACGTGCTGCCAACACGGTAGAAAGTTATTTCTCTTCGGCTACCTAAAAAAAGGGCCAGTGTGTGGATACAAAACCCAAGCGACGTCTGCTTGAAGCTGGTGACACACGGCCTTTTCAGAAGTTTGGTATCCTAGATTGCTTTTCACGAATTTGACTATGAACCCAAATCGCTGGATAAACAGGAGTGTGCTAATTCGGGGGCTGAAATTGTTTACTTACCTTTCCCCCTTCCCATATAAAAAGCAACATCAGCATGGTACTACCAGTCGTTTGCGACAGGAAACACCTTGCTGCTGTTACACCCCAACCACCCAGCAGTACGACTTGGTTTCCAGACTCTCATCATAGAGAAGCAGTTAACACTATAACGGTAACCGATTTTTGTCTTGCCCCTATCTAACACACCTAGTATGATAGAGCCTCGAAGAAACAATCTTTCCACCAACACGGCTTGTTGAATCGTGATATGTAAGCCGGACCACCACGTTGAGGAAGCAACCATCGGTTTGGACCAATAGAGGCAACTGGTAGCAAACTGATACACCGACAACCATCACACAACGCACATCCTTTTTAAGGATGAGTACAAAATTTTTATTCCAGAGTGATCCAACGCTCAGTCTGTTACACCCTGTTAAACGATATAGCCTGTTACCTGTCAACAGTCTCACTTAAATCATTAAGGAAAGCCAGTGATAAGTTGTTCGCAATAAGTACCTTGTTGTGTTTAGTACGTGAAGTTTCCTTTGGAACTCAATTTTAATGTGTCAAATGACCATGGTGTACAATGCATTAAAGTCGATGTGGTAGTAACATTAGGCTGGAGAAATTGCTTTTGAAATAACTCTTTAACAGAGCCTTAGGTTGCTATGCTTATTGGCACACCATTCACTTTACAGACTGTCTCGCTGGCCCCAGGCTTTTTGCTACCAGTGGTTCGGATAAGCAGGAAGAGCTACCAACTACTGTAGCTGATGCTTGTATGCAACTCGAAGAAACAAAGGTGTTTTAAGCTCGGATATAATCCACATAAAGGGGTTTACCAAAAGTAATATTCCAATCTCACCGAGAAGCAGCATGATCTACCCAATAGGAAATACACAAATATAATCAGCCTGCCTACATCATGAGTAAAAATAGAAATCGTTATATTACAGATGAAAATGGGTTTCATGACATACAACACAAAAGGTAAGTGATGAACTTCTGATTGAATTATGGTGACCAGCACTTTCAATTTGATGGTATGTAGTTTCCTACATTTTTTGAAATGAATTAAGCGTATTGGTTTGAACTAGCCAGTGGATACGAACATCAGGTTAAATAAATTCACTAATGCTTTTACCTTCCTGGTTCACATATTATATTCTTGCTAATTATGTTACTATCTTTAGGGGTAACCTTGAGAACATACGTGTTGCTTTATTCACTCAGATGATAAGGCTTCATGATACTTAATATGGTTTAGAATGTCGTATCAACAAGCCCTAAGAATATCTAAAGCTTATATCCTGTTACGCCACAGTACTTTAAAACCTGTCTAGAAGGATGCATTTATATGTACTACACAATCGTAGGGAATAACTATTGTCTGAAAAGTAAATAACATCGACAGTAATGATACTAGGTATCAAAATATCTTGATACTGAGAGGTAAAATTGTTTCCCAGAAACCGACTACCTATTTACGAGTAAGAAACACCACTTAGCTACAATTGTTTATAAAAAGGCGCTATAGGTGCAACGAAACGACTTATTAATGGTCGCAAAGATAAAAGGGGAAGATGTCTCAAATGAAATGAAATGTGACCAACTCTCACTTATTGTCAAATTAAGGGAGAGAACATTCAAATACTAGGAAATGAATAACAGATCATAATAAATGAAGTCAGCAATACTGTATGTTTAACAAAAGAATACACTCATCAATACGATATTTGTAATTCACTGAGAGGAAGAATTTACAGAAGCCAATGAGAATCAAGGCAACAGCATAATCCAAAACGGATATCTGATACTATAAAATATGTACCTCCTACCAGCTACTACATGGAATAAATTGCATGAAACACTAATAAAACACTGTTAGCATTTATCCGATGATTCACCACCATCTGATGAACAACAAAAGTGGGTGCCCATTAAGTTTCATTGAAGTGAAATGTGAAATATACGTCCAAAATACTTTTGAAAAGTGATAAACTTACTTTGCTATCACAAGAGAAGATGAAGGTAAGCTGTTTCCGTGTATCGGTAACATTAGAATGACGTAAATGTGGCAGGGTTGATACAGAAAAAACAATATCCTTATTCATTTGAAGTGGTGTTTCGTTATCGCTGGTTGAGGCTGACGTTTGATAGAAGTGGCTAAAGTCAGACATGTCCTGAGGGCTGTGTAAGTTGAAGTTTCCTAAAATAATCACCTTAAAACTCAAAATACTGCCAAAGGGAAGGATACCTTGTGATTCAGTAACAGGAAAAGTAAATCACTCAGCTTGTTGACAGCTTTGAGCGGGGTGCTAGTAAGATGAAATAACTTTAATAAATGTCTGACGGTAAATGGGCCCGAATATTGAAACGTGACTGTTGGAGAAGTATGAACGTTCAGTTGAGGGAAAGACCGTACTCTCCGGGTTCGTGCACACATTGATGACGATAAGCCACAATTAACTGCGAAGATCTATCTTGAAAACTGTGATAATATTGCGAAAAATTACATTATGTGGTACAATGTTTCGGACTGCTTCAAAAGTTGATTTTACGTTATTTGAATCAGCATCCCAATTAGCATACACGAGTACCCCAGTCAAAGAACTAGACGGTGCAATGTCAACTCCATAAGAGCCATTTGCAAAATCATATACATTTGACTCAGAGCTAAAGAGAGCATCGAAGGATGAGCTGTCTTTAGTAACCCTAACTGACCTGAAAACAAACAGGCATCAAGAAAAACTCGGAAATCCGTTTACTGTGAACACTTCGGAAACGATGAGAGCCACATTCCAACTGCACTAAATAAAATGACAAAGACATCAGCATTTTTCTTCATCTGAACGTAGAACGAATGTACATCCCAACAATCAAATACCCAAACCAACGATATAACATTGCTGTCACTGACCTATATTACGTAAGTTGACCTTAAAGCAAAGGATTCGAAACAGCCAAACAAAATTAAAGTGCATCATTCCAAGGTAAAGTCAAGAACCCTATACATTTTAAAATATTTTTCGTGAAACGATATTTGATTTTATGCGTCCAAAGCCAGCATCTAGGCTCGACTAGGGTAGTGATCCAATGAAGCTGCTAACACTCGTACCAATAGTCAGCTTCTTATAGCATGCTAACTAAAAATTTTCATATGCCCCCTATATCATTCACCCAGTAAAGCGACAACGGTAAGCGACAGTTAAAAGCAAGCACCCAATATCCAATATTGATAGTGAGAGCGTAGGAAACTGATAGTTTTTAATCTCTGGCGTCCAGTTCTTAGGGCTTAGTCCGAGTTGTTCGGTTCACACCTGCAGTGTACGAGGAAACCCCTCTGCTTTCTTGCTTCTGGCTTCAGCGAGATGGATGTTTTGTGGGTTAGTAAGTTGTAATTTGTAGAGAGTTTAAAGACCTACGGGTGGCTGGGAGGGTTAGGGGAGTGTCGTGACTCCTATCTGCGTAGGTATTTCAATAAGAATGGTAAGATAGTAGTAAAGAGTGGAAAAATGAAAGAATGAGAAAAAAGATGGAGAAAGGAGGGAAACGGAAGGGGAAGATGTGTGTGGGAGTTGCCCAAAAGGTAAAAGTAGATGACATAATTGTCTAACCATCTCTTGAACCAGTCAACTGAGGGGGCTATGACGATATGTCGCGGTAGGGTATTCCATAAGACACATACTCTCAGGGAGAAAAAGTGGACCTGAGCATGGTATTGGCTGTCCAATTTGCCATCCTAATAGGGTTTCCTCGTGAAGGCCGCTGTGCAGCAGGCAAGGTTAATTTGTTTGCACGGTTTGCCTGATGGGCGACCTTGTAGGTTACTATGAGGTCACCCCTCTTCCTATGACAACTTAAAGTGAATAGGTTTATGTGCTTTAGTCTTTCAAGATTTGCTTTCCCCCTCAGCCCTACGACTGATTTTGTTGAAGTCGTTTGCATTTTTTCGAGGAGATTGGAGTCTCACTTGAGTGTTAGGTGCCACCGTATTGATGACCTTTAGATGCAGCCATACGCAGGATTTGAAAACAGTGAGGGTCAGTTTTCAATCAGGTGGAGATGAGGCCACTTTTGTGACCACGTTGAGGTATAACCATTTGTTAGTTTTCGGAACAAGTGGACGACAGCTCAAGTATAATAGCCCAAAATAGTTTCCAAAAAAGGCATTCAGTGGCATTAACTTTCACCATCACTTCGTCTCAGTTGACACGTATACCTTTTATATTATAGGAGTTGGTTTCAAACCTTTATCCTCGGTTTCGATCGCACTTGAGCTGCATAACTTCAAGGGCTGAAAGATAAATCTCCTGACACGTAAAAACAATGAAGTTCAGGCCATTTCACCTGTTCAGAATCTCTGGTGCTGAACTGCAGTTCCCAGAATCCTCCTTCTTGAATAATCCCCTGAACATTTGACGTCATCTGGGGAGATGAGACAGCTTTAAAAATTACCTTTGAACTGTAGGTCAGATCTCGAAATCGACGCGGACGAAATTCTGTTCACTTTAGCCGTGAACTCAGCACCTTCCAAGTTTATACTGAAGCCAGATGTTAGTGATCAGTCAGTTACAATTTTTAAGAGTTATACCAGTAGAATGAAGAAAACCTTAAAATGCTTTACTTGAATTCGCGGTGACGATTGCTCCACCTGCTTTTTCAAAAGCCTATACACCAATCACGAAGGGTGGTCATTATTTTAACCATATTGCATGGAGGAAATGAAGTAGTTGTCATTAAAGAGCTCTCATACAAACCCGAATTCGTACTTTTTATAGCTAAGAAGAGAGCAAGTGACATAACGGCGGCTAGTATTTGCTTCAGCCTTTTAATATACCTCCTCAGAAGCTGGCAACAGAACAACAGCATACAATATGTCTCGGCGGTGGTTGACATTTCTTGAGTATACTAACAGATTGTGATTTCTCAAGACTGTATCTTATATGACTGGAACTGGTGAATCTATCTTGTTCATTCATTGCAATCTTCCAGACACCGTTTACTCAAGTCATGAGGTTTTGGCAGCTCACGGAAAAAATGAATTTGACTCAGCTTACGTGTGGTCATCAATTGACTACCTTGGCGTAGGTAAATAAGGTAACAGTAAAACGGCCGTACGCAGATGAAACCTAGGGAGTCTGGGGACAGTGACTGAGGTGCGCAGTCTTGCCTCACATTTGTGCAATCGTCATTCCATCGAAAGGTTATCGGCAAACGCGTCAAAGTCAGCGGTCATTGAGGTGTGGCAAAAAGCTTACATGGTGGCGATCACAGTCGCAATCGTCGCGAGTTCCTTATTTTCCAGGATGCTGTTCGTCAATATATACGCAGCTTCCAGCCATCAGTGCACGCTTGATGGCAAACTGCGAACACAAAAATCAGTAGTTGAATGAACTGAATACGTCGTTTCAGCTGGGCTCTCAGACCCTCATAAACTCACTCTTAGCCGCCCTATGGATTGTACGCTCGTTTTTAAGTGATGGACATTTACCCCACAAGTTTCCATGTAACTTTCTGTCAAAGAGGGTTCTCAGTTTTTGGTGTTTTACTCATGTCTTATTAGCGTTTACTGAGTGCCCTTGGACATCCCAGCATTATACCACTTGGGTGACTGCAATGGCAGTTATGTGATTCAGAGAAAGCTGGACTGTCTTAAATGTCCTCTTGAAACCAATACACACTGAAGGGCCCTAGGCCTGGTTTCCCCCTTGTCACGCCCGGTTACACAACCAATTTGGTACCTTGCAGTATTGTATACCCATGCCGCCTCTGCCTGTGATACGGGAGAAAAGGCGAGGAGGTGCAAGTTTCACTTCACGAGTTGTCTGTGGGTTAGCCGATCCCAGTAGCCTGGTTGTGCCACCAGTTAACATGATCAATGGCTGACCGCCTACACTCCACTGTGTAGGTCCCTAAAGGCAACATCCATTTCGAAACCTTCAGTTGTATTTGATCATCTGGTTTCCTTTAGATGCTACAAAAGCTGAATATGGATAGATGGCAGGGACGTGAGGGACCATTTTGAGAAAGTTCCGAAGAGCTCAGCTATAACTGAGAAGGTGACAGTGTACCTCATGACGCTGAAACTTTGGAAGGCAGTTGCTAAAAGTAATCTTTTAGCCTTCGGGATGTCACTCTGCTTTGCTCTGTGAAGCAGCTCTCAAGTTTTATCCCAGGGACTGGCGCTGCGATTATGAACAAAGTCTGGTCACATGAGGTTGGCGTATTCAGATTTACTAATCTTTCGGTTGTCGGTTTACATTTCTCCCTTGAGAAATGTACATGGAGTAATTAATAAATCCCCCTCTCAATGTTATCAGCATAAGTAGCTCTATCTTTTTCTTCCAATGAACAACCAAGCAAGAATACGCGAGGGAATCTGCGCCTAACATTTATTTGAGCAACCAAACCGGGCGCACGTAGGAAGTCAACTGGCCTTCAGAAATCTCAAGGTTACTGAACGTCATCCTGGTGACGTCACTCCTCATAAACATACTCATGCCCAGTTTCCGCCTTCTTCGTGCCCTACTTACATGACTTCTGCGTCCAGTCTACAGTGAGATAATTTGGGATTTGTCCTGTTGCGAACTTGACGGGCATAAAGACCAGTCACTAATTATTCGAACTTGCTATATACCCACGAGTACGAGACCAAGGAGGAACATGATTGCGTGGTCGGATGGTATAGTATGTTTGGATGGTTATTCCAAGATACTGATGCGTTCCAACTAACCGTCCAGAGAGTCGAATACGAACAGCGCAACGTGGCACGACAGCGTGCCAAATGGCGGGGATGTCTGACCAGGTGCCTCCAGCTCAGCGATTCCAGTTGAACTATCAAGGTCAGCATCAATGTCGAAAGTCGTCAAACCCTAGGCTATTGATTTTGGGAAGTGTGTGCCGCCACAGATCACTCCCCCCTAGTGAGTTCGTGAGGACCGTAAGACGACGCCAGCTGGATATAGAAACCCAGCGGTTTCTCCACTCGTGAAAATCTTCCGGTGGGCTCACTGTGAGAAGTGGCCCCTGGTTGTCTGAACTTATTCTAGGGTGTCGTGGCAATCGAAAAATAAAATACAATAAATCGAATTGGACGTCGATCGCAGTTCTCAGTTTCCTTTGACGTTCCGTCCAGTGCCCGTTGCGCCTGAAATATAAATGAAAGTCTTTGATACCATGAAAACGCTTCGTAAAAACGAGAATTATGTATATACAAATAAATCAGAAATGAAGGTAGAGCCTATTTCCACCGCTTTTTAAAAAAGTTTCATTACATGGTAATAAAAAAAGTTGGCAGAAAAAGGCGAAATGTACGAGGAGTTTTGCATTGCTGGTAAATAAATAAATAGTGCGTCGGAAAGAAGTTTGTAGGTAAAAAAATATGGTTGGCACATCTTATTTCACACCGCTAAGTTGAATACGACTTTAAATACTCGGGGAACCTGACGGTTCGACCTGATCGTGTTTTCTGTTGCGCCGATGGTTGTTGTAACTGCGCATTACCAGGGACATCGTCAAGAATTTCGATAATTGAGCTATCCATCGGTCGGATGTAGCGAGCTGAAACGTCACTTATAATGGGGTTGCCTTCGAAATAAGCTGGTTTCAAACGGTCGATACTGACAGTATCTTCATGTCCGTCTCGCTCAATTATGTAGAATTTCTTGTGTCACTTAATCACTTTGAATGACCCGTCGTAGGGTGGTTCAAGTGGTCGACGAACAGCGTCGTGGCGAATAAACACATGTGATGTCTTTTGTAAACTGGGGTGAACGAAAACATCAGTCGTTTGAGGTCTAACCAGAGAAGGCCTAACTGAACGCATTGCGTTTGTAAGCCTAGTCA